TGTACTAAGTGTGTGTCTTTTGTGTTGCTATTCATGTAACTATGTAATTATTGTTGTTGTTATCAGTATTGCTTTATGTAAAAAATAAACCACAAATGCATAACAGCAATACCCACCACTCAATTGCTCGTCTTTCCCCTTCCCCACATCATGCATTAAACATCTACAGCGCATGCCTTTAATTAAAAGTGAAAATTGCCACTGGAAAAGCTTGGAATATTCCAAATGCATTTTTAGTTGTTTGTAATGGTGCTGTTGATGTGGGTGGTGTAAAGAAACAAAAAAAAACAAAAAATAGTATACAATAAGAAATGATCAGCTGTTGCTCTGTTACATACAACCGATTAGCACACATTCAATTCTACCACCCCACTGCGTTCTGCCAGCCGTGACGGCCAGTTCATGTTCAAGGTCGGTCGCCAGTTAAGTGAGACAGAAAAGCCAGCCATGTGCGCTCGTTTTTTGCAGCGAGTTGTTGTTCATTTATGCACATACATACATGCATACATACGTATGAAAAAATTTATGTAGATATTTTATTTTTTTGCTGAGAAGTGGGCCAGTTTGAGTTGCGCAGGGGTGGAAAATTTGGCACGTTGGAAAATGTTAGTAGGACCGGCAAGATTGTGTACTGTGGGCTATGAAATGGTGAAGTGAAAATAAAAAAATCCAATTTTCGCTTTATCATTTCATTTTATCATTTTCAACGATTCTCAAACATTAAAAGTTTTTACATAAATTTTTATTTGGTAAATAATTTTTAGTAAAAGATAATGCTAGTACCGAACAAATAAGTTCGTTAAAATGCATGGTTACCAGCGAAGCCGGCTTCGGTAGCGGTACGGCTGCCGCCCTACCAAATCGGAGAATCCGCCACGAGTTGTCTTCGCTGATGTAGGCTTTTTAAATGATCAGACATTTTAACCGGTCTGAAACCGCAACCATAAAGTTGCTTTTTTCGAGTAATACACTAGGGATCTTCAGGCGTTAATGCGAAATGCAATTGCAACGGTGCGAAATATGAAATTGCTAAATTTTATCAACAACAATACACCGAAAATCTCGCATCAGTTATTGCATTTGCTTATGGTTGGTATGGAGCAGTGATTCCCAAAGTGGTCTAGGGGGACCCACAGGGGTCCACAGAAGACTCGACGGGGGTCCACGGTGAGGTGAAAAAAATATGGGGTCCATGAGTTGTAAATGGGGGTCCACGAAGATTTATCTGGTTTCGATGTAAAGAACCAAAATGGTTGCTTGATAGCCTCTTTATTTAACTTTAATTTTTTTGAGTGGTGTATAGTGCTCTTTACGCACTGCTGCACTTACCGTCACTTTGTGTTTTCATACGTGGGGAAGCCTTAAAGGCCACCTGCAGACTAAAACGAACCGGATGTTGGTATGACAATGAGTGAGGCGCGGCGAAAATTTCTGGTGGCAGAGATTTAAGCACTTGTGTCTTGTCAATGCTACAGGATAGTACGCCACCATTACCTTTGTTGTAGAGATTCTATAATGATGAGTTCCTTGAGACTGAACGCTGGTTTGATTCCATCACTGAGACCGGACTCACACATTGTCGAATCTTCACTGATGGCTCCAAAACTGACTCTGGGTCATGATCTGGGGCCTTTTTCGAGGTTAATGGAGATAAGCTTCCCTTTTCTGTAGGGGAATATGCTTCGGTCTTCCAGGCTGAGGTAATTGCAATACTCAAAGCCATGGACGTGGTGGAACATAGGTGGAGGGGAAAGAGTTTACGTGACTGCAGTGACAACCAAGCTGCACTTAAGGCATTGACCAGCCCTCTATTTAAGTACTTCCAGGTTGTTTTACTCTGAGTGCCTGGTCACTCTGGAGTACCAGGTTATGAGACATCTGATTATTTGGCCTGAGTTGGCTCAGACCAGGCACTCCTCGGTCCGCAACCAGTTTTAGCACTCCCAACTTCGACAATCGAAGCCACCATCAGAAACTGGGCGCACATGGGCAAAACTCATGTTGCCTTCAATCTCACAAGGTCTATCTAATTTTTTGCTCTCACACTGCAGACAACTTTCTGGACTGCTGACTGGTCACTTCACGTGGCACAAACACCTGACTTTGATAGGCGTAAATGACAAGTCCATTTATCCATATTGCCTTGAGGAAGATGACACGGTGGAACACTTTTTGTGTTTCTTGCTGGCTTGGTTATTTGTCATAGATTTTTTTAAACTCGTTCTTTTCTCTATTGTCAGTTTCTGAATTAAAAGTTTGGCGTAAAAATCTTAACCGTTTTGATGTTTTAAGTTTTGTGTTTTAAAAATGTGTTAAATATTTTTCGCCTCACTTTGAAACTCGGAGCAAGGCGAATTAATATAAGGTGATAGCAGGAGTACAAAAACAAAAAATTTACATGTATTTTGTTTTTGCTTTGGCGGCATAAACTGTCAAAATCTGTAAGAGTGTGTGTAGAAATTCAAACAAAATTTTTCAATACACACATACACAAAATCAGCTGAGCTAGTAACACCACCTTATATTAATTCGCCTTGACTCGGAGCGATAAAAATAAAAATGATGCCATTAGCACAAATAAACTATTTTACATATACTCCACGTGCAAAGTCATTAGAGAGCTCTTAAAAAATATACTCTTCCGAGCGAGAGAGTAGTTTGATGTATTTACGAGCTCTATTTTTTAAAACCTACAAGTGTGTAATCACATTATTTTTATAACCAGAACACAAAAAAATATTTTACTTTTATTTTGGCCACTCTGAGTTTAGTTTTTGAATTCACCCGCGATGAAAATTTACATTGTTAGATCTAATTTTCACATTAATTTTTTTTACGAGCTTTGGGAATATTTAGAAATGTATCAGCAGGGGGGTGTTTTAAAGGGGTCTACGAAAAATAAAAGTTTGGGAACCTCTGGTATAGAGTGAAATGCAATGAGTGAAGCGAGAGTTTCGGCTGTGTTGTTGTTGATAAAGTTTTGCAATTTCACATTTCGCACCGTTGCAATGCATTTATTCTATTCTCTATTCTATTATCTGTACGAATCGCTTGGATTGTTGCGTCTTGAGAGATTCAACTGTACGTATGCATGTATGTACATATACGTATATATAAATGTGCTTACCCAGCAAACCAAAGTTTTCGAAATCTGAACGAAATCTTTAAGGGCCGGTTGTTCAATGTCTGGTTATCACTACTTGCCGGTTAAACATCATTATCGACGATTTCGACATCACGCATATAACATGTGATCGATAAAGCAGTCGTTGTATCTAACCGGAGCTTCTACCTCCGATTTTTGCTAATCAGACATTGAACAAGCGGCCCTAAGAGTATCCGAATTCTGTAAAAAATTTTTAACCAATCTTAAAAAAATCATATAAAGTGGTTGACACGAGCTGGTAAAGAGATTTCTTTATGATTTGTTAAAAAAATTCTGAAAAAGTTCTCAAAAAATTCTTCACATCGCAGCAATATTTTCATCGCTTTACCGATTTTCTTCCCAAAATTTCGTACATTACAAGATTTCTCTACTATTCAGAATACTCTGAAAGTATGGTTTCCATGCTACATGTGTACAAAGTTATACGGAGTTATAACCAGGTTTTGCATAATATATGTAACATACATACATATGTAGATATGAGTTGAAAGTCTATGCTTTCTAAAAGGTGTCAGGATGATAGGGTGAAAAAACCGGTTGTTTCTTGTTTTGATTAAACATAAAATTTTGTACATAATACATACATATACATATTTTTGGCCTAATCATCACTTAAAAATGAAGAACATTATTCAATATTTGCCATTTAAAAAAGTCCCCAAAAAAAGTGAAAGACGTAAATTCAAATGTGGTAGGTATTTTTAAGGGAAGTGTTTAATTGACTTTGCAAATATTTTTATAGACATAGACATCTACGCAAATACATATGTACACACATAAATAAATATTAATTAAGAAAAAAAAACATTTGAAATTTCTTCCGGTAGCATTTTTTTTTCATTAGTAAACAGGCGATTACGTCTTATACCATAGATATGCAAAACAACATGCGTTTGCTGCATAAATATTTACTATGAATATATGTACATATTTACATGCTTGCATACGCAGCTACAGACAAAAAAAAAACAATGTGTGGCTTTATTGGCATTCTCGTTGTTATCTTACCTAGACTTAAGTATTTAAGTAGATATAAAATTTTTGAAAGGTAGCTTTAAAATTTTTTAATATTAAAAAAAAGTTTGTTTTTAATATTTTAGCAAATTTTTTTTGGGCATTTGAAAAACTTCTATGGATACTTTTTAGAAAAAATATTTTCACAGTTGAACCTTTGAAAATTAATTATCGTTTTCATTACTAGCGTAGTTGAAAAAAGCTTCCAAAAAATTAGATTAAAAAATTTTAGGAACGATTTGTAGCAAAGTTAAAAACCCAAATAAATTATAGATTCCACAGATTTTTTTCTTATTTAAAGAATAATTTCAAGATTTCCCCCATCAAATCTAAGGGTCTTCTTTGTATCGCGATTCGAAAAGCAAATCGTTCGGATTCGGAATGCTTGGCACTTTGAATTTGTATTAGTCCGTGCCATTCGAATCGCATTGAGTTTCGAATATACAGAATACAATTCTAAAAATTTTAAGGTGAAAATTTCGCACATTCAATTTTAGTATAAATTTAAAGTAGCTGGGGAAATTTCTTGAAGGTATTGCTCATTTTTTTCATACATACATACCAAATACTTTGTATCACAGGAAATCCATAACATCTTTAGCAAAAATATTACAAAAAATCAACAGAAACAGCATTTTATTCTGGATGTGATATATTAATGAAAAGAAAAATACTATGTAAAAACAATTTTGGGTCCCACCCACCAGCCAATTATTAAAAATAGAGTTATTAAAATACTTAACTCTTGCAGTTATTCATCAAGCTCAATATTTAAGCTTCAATAAATATTTCATCACTTTCTTTCCTCCCTTTATTTCAGGTTCATCCTGAGACGACTACACTCAAGATACGCACCGATCGTCATGTGCCCAAACTGGGTCTGATGCTTGTTGGCTGGGGTGGCAATAATGGTTCCACACTGACCGCTGCTTTAGAGGCTAACCGTCGTCATTTGCAATGGCGCAAACGTACTGGCGTACAAAAAGCAAATTGGTTTGGTTCCATTACGCAAGCATCGACTGTACTAATTGGCGCCGATGAGGAAGGCAAGGATGTGTATGTGCCCATGAAAGATCTCGTGCCGATGGTTAATCCCGATGACATTGTCGTCGATGGTTGGGATATTAGCGCATTGAATCTGGGCGATGCTATGCGGCGCGCACAAGTTTTAGACATTGAATTGCAGGATCAATTGTACAAGGATTTGACGGTACTCAAGCCGCGACCATCCATTTACGATCCCGACTTCATTGCGGCCAATCAAGAAGATCGTGCTGATAATCTTATCAAGGGTACTAAATACGAGCAGTACGAGCAATTGCGTCACGATATACGTGATTTCAAGCAGAATTCTGGCGTGGATAAAGTGATCGTATTGTGGACTGCAAATACGGAACGATTCTGTGATGTGAAAGAGGGTTTGAATACCACTAAAGAGGAATTAGAGGCATCGCTGAAGGCGAATAAGGCAGAGATATCGCCATCGACAATTTTTGCAATGGCTAGCATTGATGAGGGTGTAAGTAGCAGCGTGTGTTGGATGAACTATACGTATATATATTTATATTTTTGCCATGTAATTACAGTGCACTTACATCAATGGCTCGCCACAAAATACTTTTGTACCTGGTCTTATCGAACTGGCTGAGCACAAGGGTGTATTTATAGCTGGCGATGATTTCAAGTCAGGTCAAACCAAGATAAAGTCGGTGCTGGTTGACTTCTTGATGGGTGCGGGCATTAAGCCTGTTTCCATTGTGAGCTATAATCACTTGGGCAACAATGATGGCAAGAATTTGTCAGCGCCGGAGCAGTTCCGTTCAAAGGAGGTGCGTAGAGTACAAAATCACTGAAATGAACGAAGACTGTAACTTGTAGTCGAGTCACTTTCGCATTGAGGTGTAAAATTTCCATACAGTATATTTTGGGGCAGGTGATGTAAGTACTTATTATTGGAATTTCGAATACACCTCACGTGATTTGACTCGACTTCGAAATACACGCATATCTATGTAATTAAGTAATAGTTATGAAAAAAGACTAAAACCTCCGCTTTCTTCGATTTCTCTACAGATTTCCAAGAGCAACGTCGTCGACGACATGGTCGAGTCGAATAAAGTACTCTACAAACCCAACGAGCATCCCGATCATGTGGTGGTCATCAAGTATGTACCCTATGTGGGTGACAGCAAGCGCGCCATGGATGAATACACTTCAGAAATCATGATGGGCGGCCATAATACGCTCGTCCTACACAATACCTGCGAAGATTCGCTGCTCGCCTCACCGCTCATTCTCGACTTGGTCATATTGGGTGAACTGTGCTCACGCATACAGCTCAAGAGCAGTCAACGCACCGACGCTCCATGGGTCTCCTTCAGCCCAGTGCTCTCGCTGCTCAGCTACTTATGCAAGGCACCGTTAGTGCCGCGTGGCGCACAAGTGGTGAATTCACTCTTCCGCCAGCGTTCGGCTATTGAGAATATTCTGCGCGGTTGCATTGGTCTACCACCCATCTCGCATATGATGCTGGAGCAACGTTTCGATTTTGCATCGATCACCAATGAGCCGCCCACAAAGAAATTGAAGAGTGCTGCCAATAGCTGCGCTATTGAATTGAATGGCAAGGGTGTCAATGGTCAAGTCGCAAAGGCAGTGGCGGCAAATGGCCATTATGCCAATGGAGATGCAAATGGTCAGCACCATTAATCATAGTTGGTATGCTGTAGCGCTAAGGGCAGGAAGGCATCAACTGAAGGCTGATAACGATTGAAGTATGGTAGTTGTTAGGCAGGCATTAAGTGACTACTTGTATGTACTCTCTATCTATCTAGTAAAAATTTTACGTACCAGTGTGCATCATTCCACATGAATTATTATTATTTTTTTGTTCAGCGTTTGTAAAAAGGGGCATCAAACTTACCACCCTCCCCACCATCCTCTGTTTGTGCTATTTTAAATAGGCGCACTTTTATAGAAATCTATAGTTTAGTATTTTGTAGTTTATAGCTCTCGAAAAAAAAACAGATAAACCTATGTACTTGTAAAGTTATAAACATGTATATTCTATGAAATAATAGTTATTAAACAAGCAGTTCTATGGAAAGAAATTTATAAAAAATCTTAAGTTTTTAGACTAGGTTCAAATTTTGTTGTGGAATATTTTATAGCAGACTTTTGCAAAAAGTACCTAACTAAATATAATCAGGGCTATTACTGAATCGTTCGTTAGATCTACGAAAATATGACCACTGAATCCGAATAGCTACGAGCGTGTGTATTCAAAGTTTATTCTATGTTCGTAGCTATTTATGTTCGTAGCTATTCGAATGCAGTTATATTATTTTCGAAGTTTTAACGAAAAATCATACTGCGACGGTTTCAGTGATAGCCCTGAATATTTTAATGAAAAATACCTACAATGTAAATAATCTTAATATTAATAAAAGAAAATATTAGAAAACCCTTTTGAAAAGTTCTTATGTTGAAAGTACATATATTTGGCATATTCTTTTTGTAAAATTTCCAAATTTTGATAAACAAGGCCTCTATAGAAACATAATTTTGTAAATTTGTAAAACGTTGGGAAAAAATTTTCAAGTTTTGTAATCACAACAAAAGAATTCAGTTATAACAAGAAGATAAGTATGTAGAGAGCGTGTTAGACGGGGCAATATTTCCATCTGTAGTGAAAAATTACTTTTTAAATTGAAAATAAAGTTAATTATAACTAAGCGAAATAACAAAGAACCGGTAACGCGGGTCACGGTTGCATTTTAGTTACCAGAAAGATTGCAAGAAATTTATTCGCTGTGTGCTTTCTGAAATTTGTTCTGCAATTCGTTTTTCAGAAATAAAAAATCAATTTCGAAAGCGTGACTGCTCATGCAACTGCTTTTAGGAATTCGATTTTTAAATTTAGCAGTCTTTTCGAAATACTTTACATTGCCACGTCTAACAGCCGTTTATGTATATTAAAAATAATAGCAGTTTTCCTTATGCATTTCTGTACATATATGTATATATCTTTATATGTAAGCCTTTGTATATTGGTAGCTTACGAGTGAAAATTTGCTAAGTCCATTTTTGCAAATTTTACAGGAGAGGAAAAAACTCTTGTTGCCATTTTTTCAAATATTTTTCAAAACTTCGAAGACAATATTTTTAGTGTTAGTTTAGCAAAGCAAAACTCCGCACGAATGAGAGGGATTCGATGTTTATTAAAAGATTTCGTATTGTTTTGGTCTTGTCGAACTTTCTGTGTTGTCTCTTTTGGATTTAGCAAATTTGCCTTTCTTTGCATAAAAACGGGAAGAAATAAAACTAATACTTTAATCCTTTTGAAGATGATGCATTTTTCAAGCAATTTCTCCTGCTTTCTATGCTTAAAATATGAATTTTTACAAGAAGTGCACTTAGCAACTTTTCACTCTAAGCTAGCGTTATGTATATAATAAATTTGTTGCTGGTGTTGGGAATGTATTAGGCGTGCATTAAAACCGTTAAAGATTGGTTATTTTTTACAGTACTTAGCCTTCTTTATGGCAATATTTTGAGTCAAAACGTTATGGGTGCGTTCAGAAATGCATCAAGCCAAAGCATCAGTCTCTTTTACTTCTAAATTATAACTGATGCAAATGCCTTATTTGCGCAACTAAGTTCCAATTAGGCATTTTGGACATTTCCATCAATTATAGTTTAGAAATAAATGCGTCTGATGCTTTGGCTTGATGCATTTCCGAACACACCCTATATTTTATGGCAATGAAATTAACCGAACCAAAATACATACATACATATATATGTGAGCCATTTTTATCTATATCTATATATCTACAAATATTCTTTTTAGTAAAATTTTATTTTGCAAAAATTGTCACCAACTTTCATATATTTACTGTCTTTAAACCAATGCAATTTTTAATTTGAATAAAGAACGACTTTGTCGGTTTTATTGGAAACTATGTACTATGCATTTTTTTAAGATAGTCCTATTAGTAACTAAGAAGTATAATAATATTTTTTTCGCTTACACTTCTCCCATTTGTGGGCTGCTTCCTAATGTTGTTAAACAAATGGAGGGATCTACAACTTTACGCCACCTCCGAACGGCAAATGGTTTTATGAGGCGCCTTTTCAAGACAGATATACACTCGGCGGTTTATCAGTGCCTCAGAAAAAATTAAAAGTCGAAAATTTGCTGAGTAGTGTAATTTTACGATGTATATCTTTGTCGGTCAAAAATACGCGTTATTCGGTTTTTTATTTTATTTTATAGATACAAAATTGTCGATGGTTTTAATTAGTCATAATTGGGGTTCATATTTAAAAGTCATAAAATAGCCATAAAATATGATCGAAAAAATTTAAATCAACGATCAAATTTTAATGATTGAATTGAAATTCTTATAATAAAGATCATAGTCGCTTCGATCACTGGTGCTCGTAAACCACCTGAAGAATTCAATATGGATAGGCGATAAACTACAACGAAAGCAATTCCAGTCAAAAAAAAAACACCGGTCTATTGACCCCTCCATGGTCCAATTGACGCGGCCAGGCGTTGGATCTCATTTACGTCAACAACTCTATGCTTCTAGTTCTTTGGCCCTACAATAACTTAAGCGATTTTATCCGAGTTCAGCATATCATACCAGTCGTTTCTTCTTCTTGCTAATTTAAGCGAATTATAAACATTAAGTGGAGTAAAATTTGTCTTCATCTGGTGTTTCCAATGAAGACGAGGTGTTGCTCTTTCAACTCTCTATCGCTCTATCCAACTATGTGCAAATGAGTAAAGCGAGAGACGACAAATTCCCTTCCTATAAGAAAAAAAAAAGTAGGAATCCTTATACATCTTTTAAATAACATGAAGGAAGGGCGATGGCCATTTCTGCATACTTAACATCATTTTTTTTTTAATTATTACTTTCTTGTAGCAAACGAAATCTTGAGCCGACAACTACTCACAAACGACAACTAATGAACCGGATATGTCATATATGTATATACGTGGGCAGCATTCAAAAACACACACACATAGATAAGATATTAGTTGTGTTTTTTTACAAATTATCCAGTAACTTGCCAGTAACTCTCCAGTAACTTTATTTCTAAGAATTCGCTCTCATAGAAAAAATTTGCAAAAAAGTACGCGAACGCTTTTCCAGTAATAATTTGCAAGTTTCATGAACAGCTGATAAATTGGTTGTTTATTCGCAGCATATTCCCAATAAAACGATATATTTTATATTTAAATATGTTTGTTTTGAAAATTTCCACAATAAAAATCCACAAACAGTTTCCTTATTAGTTTAAATTTCATACAGCAACATGCGATCAGCTGGTTTTCGTACTGGCAAATTCTTACAAGTAAAAATTTATCCAGTAAAATCCAATAAAAACTTGCACCTTCAGCTGTAATTTTTCGCTCTCTCAATTTCCCCTACTTTGCAAGTTTTTGCGTACGAAAACGCCAAAACATGAAAATTCGTAAAAACTTTTACTGGATTTGACTGGAAATGAGTAAAAAAATGCAACTAATAGCAGCCTAAAAGTAGACTTCAAATAATTAAATAGAGGAAATTCATATTTTGTTTTCCGGACGTTGGCATTAACAGTTCGTAAGACACATACATATGTACATCATACACGCATATACACACATTTTCGTTAGCTCCGTACAAAAAAGTTCGCCGTATACCCCTGAGTAGCAAGTTTTTGTTGGCAAGACAATTAGAAAATATATATATTTTTTGGCCGAACCTATGGGTCATATTTATACATTTTTTTGTGATACCCACTGGAATAATCGAAATACTTCTTAATACAAAGTTTGGGATTTTTGGTGAGCTTTAATTTACTGAAACTAAGGTGGCGACCGCTGCGGTTTAGTACTTAGCAGTGCGCGCTCCCATTCCACAGGGCCTGGCTACGAGCCCAATTTCTGAAAAGCATAAAAAAAAAACAAGTAATTTTTAAGCAAAAGGCAAACCCAACTCCAATTCTCATATAAAAATTTAAGAGTAGCTTAATTTATTCATGTTCCAATGATCGGATGTATTTAAGCCACATTAGTACCTCTGTGGTACCACCTTTCCTTTAAAAGATGGATTATAGAAATCGGTTAACTTGGTCTAAAGTTATTCGGTACCATACATAAAAAAAGGAAAAAATAATATTCCGACGATCTGCTAAGCTCCTCCTTTTTTTTTTTAAGTTGCCCCTCAGTAGGCAATGGCAAACCTTAGAGTGTATTAATACCATGAGAAACAGCTTTCATACAAATAACATCGAGTTTCGAAGTGGCCTAAAAACTGTTGGTCCCTACCCTTTGTGTGACAACATCAAGGCGCACACCTCAATTATTATTATTAAGGTGGTACGTTAGGCCGATAAGAACTGAGATCTTGGGGATATGTAGTAGTAGTAGAATTCGGTACTTGATGTCAATTAACTTTTGAACAAAAGAATTTTCTCCTCGAGTCAAGAACGTTGATATTTTATACTTTAAGATCTGAGTAAAATGGCTAACACGCTTCAAAATATAACCTTGGCCGATACAACTCCGGTTACGCCACCCACAGTATTCCTGTGTCAAACTACTTTCCGCGTTGGCCGATTTTTTGTTTTTTAAGTGTACTTAAGTACGGCTTAAGATTGAGATTAATACAAGGCTGAAGGTAAAGTTACATATATACATATGTAGATGAAGAAAGCGATAAAGGCGACGATAGATAAAAGAATAGACTCAACTCAATTCAACTCACCTTATCTCAACTCAAATCAGCTTAATTGTAGTGGTGCAGGGTGAACACTAGTAGACTACAAAGGCCAATATGTATCTGGTTAAAATTGATTTTCAATTAAGAAATGTCTTTCAAAAATTTTTAATTATTAAAAGAATCTGAAGATTGATTATCTTTAAACAAACGATTTTTTAACTTACAAACATCACTTATTGTATCCGTCCAGAAGAACCGAAGGAAGAAAGACGTAACAACAGCGCAACTGAAATGGAAAAAGTCGTGAATATTATTTTTATTTTTTTACTAAAATGATGTGCGGAGTTGTAATTCGATGAAACCCATCATATAAATCAAAAAGTGAATTTTGAATTTTTTTATTGGTTATGACTTTTTGCATTTCGGCGGTGATGTTTGTTACGTCTTTTTGCATTTCGGGTGACGATATGTAAGTCAATGAATAGCGGGAGTAATCAACTAACTTAATAACGGCGTGGCCAATCAACAAAAAAGTAATAACTAACAGGCCAACACAATGTATATATGTATGTATATCGATTCAATAATTGACCTTATCCTTTATGGGCATGTATGTATTACATAGTATATATATACATACATACATTGTACCCGCATGCACCCAGTCGGACTTGTTTGCTTCCAAAATGTACTTATAGCACAGCACGGCTCTTTTTCCACTCAAAAGTAGTACCAAAAACATGAAGTCTTTGATTCGCTTTTATACAGGCGTGAAATACATCAAGAACGGGTCTTTCAGAAGGCAATTTTGCATGACGTGTTTTTTTTTGGTTTGGAAGATTTTTAGAATTTTGTATTCTCGTTCGAACTTATTTTCGGAAGTTTTCAAGACATACAGATTTTCAGAATTCCATTATGGTGAAAAAGGTTGCGATTTACTTTTTAGTAACTACTCATATAGAAATTAATGTACTTCAAAATTCTCAAGAAGAAGAAATTAGTACCATAAAGGCATTCTTTTCGGAACCACATTCTGCACGGAATGACTGGGTATGTACATACATATATACATACATACATATCAACGCAGGTAATACCATCAAACATTGTCATTTCCAGTGTTTACTTTTGTATTATGATTAATTTTCAGTGATGTGCGCATCGAATTGTATTGGCATTAAATGCAGCAAGGAGTATGAAGCGATACCTATGTAAATATGTATGCACGTATATATGTATGTACATAGGTGCATAATATAAATATTGCATAGAAATAATGTAGGTACAGGCGTCTAGGTTAAAGCAGACACTGCCACAAATCGTACCAACTCACCGTCACGCACTTAAGTACACATATGTGTATATATGTACATATGGTTTCGCCCTTCCTGGGCCTATGTAATCCGTCCATTTAATTGCTACAATCAACTATGCCAATACTTGATCGATAGCTAATATTCGTCAATTTTTTTTTACGTTTTGTTGTTTGTCCAACGGGTAATGATTTTGTGCGCTTAATACGAGGTAATCATGGTAATAAATAATGTTTAAACAGTGTCTGTGTAAATTCTCTAAGTGCACATAGAAAAAGTGCATTAGAAAAATAATAGAGTTTTAATAAGG